TATCTTTTACTATACTGATTCAGTCTGTAAGCTGAGTAACAATCAGAGGAACTATGCTATATGAAGAAGATTGTGGTTATCAGGATAACTGTAAAACTCATTAACAATCTGTGATATGAAGATGAAACACGTTGCTTGCTGAAGGTAAAGATTTTGAAGTACTTACTGATGACCCTGTATAGGGAATCTGAGATTATAAATTGAAGCAGAAAGCTTCATGTTTATCCTGAAAAACTGCTGGTAGTTTTGAACTCCTGACTTTGAGGTTAGCAACCTGACTCGTAACCACTACACTACCAGAGCTCCTTCAGTATGGATTATACCTCAACATAAAGAAAACAAGGGCTTTTGGTATTGCGCTGTAGAATAAGCACAAATTCGATGGTTCAAACTCATCAGCTACTTCTTAGAAACCCTAAGCTGCTTCTCGAAAACCCTATATAGGGTCACTATGAGTCAGAACTGACTCAGCGGCTCTTAACTACAACAACAACAAAGAAAACAAAAATCCTCACAACTGGACCAATAGACAGCTTCATGATAAACAGAGAAAAGACTTAAGTTGTCAAGAATTTCATTCTGCTTGGATCCACAGTTAAGAACCATGGGAGGAACAATTAAGAACCAGGCAAGTATTGCATTAGGTAAATGTGCTACAAAAGACCCCTTGATGTCACCTTGAGGACTAAGGTGTACCTGACTTAAGTCATGCTGTTTTCAGTGATCTCATATGCACGTCAAAACTGAATCATGAATAAGGAAGACCAAAACAGAAGCCTATGGACTGTAGTGTTGGCAAAGAATGTTGAATATATCATTGAATGCAGGTAACACAAAAAGTACAGCCAGAATGCTCCTCAGAAACTATTAAGGTGAGACTTTGTCTTCTTTATAGACAATTTCAATTAGAAAACAATAGTTGAGTGGAAACAATATAATGGTTCATGTGAGTGAATTAATATGAAGGCAAGAAAAGTATTCAATTGACAGGAAACATGTTATTAATTGTAAGTATCAGCTGTAATGCTCCTGCCAGGATAAGATGTCTCTTTCATCTACATTAAAAATTCATGACTCCTTCTCAATACCCAAGCCCAGTTATTTTTGGTCAATATCTATTTTATAGCAATTATATGATGTATTAGAATGGTCTCTGCCCATCTTTTGTGGGGTGTTTTTATTTTTATTTGCTTTATGTATCTTCTATCTTTCACTATAACTCTTTGTATTCCATGCAAGAACGAATCGAGAAGCTCAATGTGTCCCAGGGGCCAGATGTACTACACTTGTCCAATTCAAATGTTTTCACAATGACTGTGGCACCAACTGCATTCAAAACCTGAACCACACAATTTATTTGCTTAATGTCATTAACTAACTTACAGTTTAATATAAGCAGTTATGAAATAGGGACAATAATAGGATTTATTTCTCAGGATCAGTGTAAAGATTAACTAAGATAACACTGGGCCTGGCCTACAGGTTGCTGTTGTTGTTGTTGTGAAGTGCCGTCGAGTCGGTTCCAACTCATAGTGACCCTGTAAAGGGTTTCTGAGGAGCAGCTGGTGAGCTTGAACTGCCAACCTTGCAGTTCAAATGGCTTTGCAGTCTGGCGCATTAACCCACAGTGCCACACCAGGACTCCTACAGGTAATCGCCCGATAAAAGGTGATATATCTAAATTTCATGTGTGGACACAATGCATTTTTATTAAAGATTTTAAAGCACTAAAATAGAATATATTGAATCAGAAAGAAAGAAAGAAAGCTACCCAAAGAAAAGAGAATTTTTAAAATATGGACTTTCAAAATTTGTCACAAGTATTGCTTATTTTCCACTTTCCTCAATCTATGGTTGTACTTTGTATACCTATTTAAATTTAGCTTTTCTCCTACTATAAATACATAAGAACAGTAATTGCTGTTGTTGTTGTTTGCTGTTGAGTTAATTCTGACCCACAGTGACCTTGTATAGGGTTTCCAAAGAGCAGCTGGTGTGCTTGAACCACCAACCTTGTGGTTCAGAGTGACTTTGCAGTGTAACGCATTAACCCGGAATACACTAGGACCCTAAGAACAGTTAGGTTGTTGTTGTTAAGTGTGGTTGAGTCGATTCCAACCCATAGGGACCCTGCATAGGGTTTCCAAGGAGCAGCTGGTGAGCATGAACCACCAACTTTGCAGTTCAAGCGGCTTTGCAGTCTGGCACATTAACTCACAGTGCCACAAAGAACAGTTATAGGGTCCCACAAAACCAAAACTAAACTTGCTTTTCCTGTTGAGTGCAACTCATAATTACCTTATAAGACCCTAGAACTGCCTCTTAGGATTTCCAAAATTTAAATCTTTATGGAAGCAGCCTCCCAGATCTTCCTCTTATGAAATAACTGGTGGGTTTGATCCCCTGACCTTTTGGTTAGAAGACAAGCACTTACCCATTGCACTAACAGGAGTCCTTGCTATTCCGATTGCATAGATATAACTTAGATATCTAAGGTGTATCTTTTTATTTCTCTGTCCCTGTCCCTTTCTCCCTGTTAAATGAAAGTAATAAATGGGGATGTTTCACAAAATGTGATTTGAAAGTTACAACAAAGAACTTTTCATTGTCACAGAAAAATGAAAAACGCACATTCCCAGACCAACATTTACTGGATGCTTCTCTGGAATTATTAATGCATTAATGCTGACTCTACTTAGAACTTTGCATTTTCAAGAAAAGTGCACACATCCAACGTTAGTTCAACAGCATAAGTAATACCTGATATATGAGTGATTTTATTATGCCATTGTTGTTGTTAACTGCTGCCGAGTGAATTCTGACTCATAGCAACCCTGTAGAGAGTTTCCGAGCAGCAACTGGTGAGTTTCAATCACCGACCTTTAGGTTTACACCAACCTTGTGGTCTAATGCTTATCTTACCATGTCACACCAAGACTATTATGCTAGGGGCTTTCTGGTTTTGTAAAGCAGTGGAATCCAATAAAAGAGTTAATCTTATTGGAAATGTGTATTACAAAGCAAATCAAAGTGGACAGATGTTCCCTAGAAAGGGTCAGAAATGCTGAGGATCTGCTCATTCCGATTTCTTTCACATATGTTGTGTGTAGGAGAGTTTGATTAATTAAAGGTACTGTGAAATACACAAAGTCAAAATCTATCCAGTGTACATGAGCTTTCATATATGACAGGGACACATTTTACTTATTCAGATGCATGTGTTTAACATAGACTCTCAGAATCTCCTTATCTAAACATTGAAAGTGCATATGCTAACATGATAAACATTCAATTTTACATTTTTGTGATCAATATCAATTCAACAAGTATACGTACTGTGAAATTATTTACAACATGCAGATCACCCTTTTATGACAATTTTCCAAAGAGAATCTTTTTATGAAGAAAACACTTAACATAGGTGGCTGATCATGAAACAAGCTCTTAGACAAGCCCAGAAATTTAACTTGAACTTTAATCTAAAATTGAATCCTAAAATGTAAATATTAGTGTTTCCATTTTTAAAACAAGTTTAGAAAACATAAGTAAAGGCAATAACTAAAGTTTCCATTCCTAGTAATATGTGTGAAAATCAAGATTCATAATATTAGACTGCCCACCACCCATTCTGCCTGTATAAGATCTTATGAAATAAAAGCATTATGATGCAATAGCCAGATTTATTATTTTAAACATTGAGTAAAAGCATTTTCCTTTTAATGGAATATTTAATTAACAGTATATTGCAATTTGATTAGCAATATGTTGAGAGGAAAAGATAAATTGTTATACAAAATCTGTACAAATTGCATTCGTTTCACCAGCTTATTTATTCATGTTTTTAAGTATTACATGATAAATTGGGATCTGTCTTATTTTTGTATGACACATTGTTAAAGATTCTTTCATTCTTGAAAATTCAAAATACTAACTTCTATGATCAATTTCATTCCAGAACTAATCATGATTGTAGTATGTGATCTTGACAGTATATGTACTAATGGACTACTTACCTAACACACTCAAGTCTAGAAAGAAAAATTGAAAATGTATTTGCTCACATCTGCATAATTTCACTTCCTTATGATCTATCAAGAGAAACTTATTGGATGTGGAATATTTTTCTGATAATCTTGATGGGACAAAATAAATTATGTACATCATCCCTAAACTATGATATATTATATTCTCAAATCAATATAAAAGCTCATTACTTTAACATCTACTCTACTAAGCCAGTAATTCTACCACAGTTTTGCTATCAATATAAACTGGACAAATATAACATCAGCAAATCACAATGGTGGCCAATCATATAAAGAGGATTCCTGGTGTGATGTTGTAGGATCAGCACAAGATCAGCAATTCAAGCCCATCAGCTGTGTCTCTGAAATCCTACACAGGGTTGCTGTGGGTCAGAACGGACTCAATGACCCTTAACAATAACAAGGCAAGAATGTGAGGAACTCTGGTGGTGTATTGGGTTAGACCGGACTGTTAACCACAAGATCAGTAGTTCAAATCCACCAACTGCTCCCTGGGAGAAAGATGAGGTTTTCTGTTCCCATAAAGATTTATAGCCTTGGAAACCATTTACAGCATTGCTAAGAGTTGAAACCAACTCAGTTGAACTTAACACACACACACACACACACACACACACAAGAAAGAAAGGAGGACTGCAGAAGGAGGCAGGGCCAGGAGCATGAAGAAGCAATCCTGAATAAAGGCAGAAATGCTTCAAGCACTTCTGACAAGGTTAAGGAACAGTGTATGGTACCCACCTGATCAATAAGACGTTGTATCTGCCGTAATATCCTAACACTCCATTGAGAGGGTAAGTAAATGCATCTTTAACTAACAACAGTTAACAGTTATCTTCTGCAAAATCCCTAAAGATTTTGTTAAAACAATTTTAATAAAAGAAAAAAAAGACGCAGCATTTTTCCTGATTCATACACAAACACACTCATATATTTCTCAACTTCATTTTTTTGCAGACAATTCAGAAAATTAGTGCAGTGGATAGAGATGAGTCCATAGAAGCGCACCACTTTTACTTTAATCTATCTGTAGAAGACACAATGAACTCAAGTTTTACCATCTTAGATAACCAAGGTAAGGCCATTCATTCATTCATTCATCATGAGGTTTTAATCATGCTTCCTGAATCAGGTTTGATTTTAAAGGAATGGATAGCACTGCTCCTACAACATAATATTTTGAGAAATTGACCAAAAGAGAGACAATGAAAATGGAAAACCACACCCAAAGTCAGGTCTTGAAAGCTGGCCCTTTGCAACTCACTGCCTTTCTTCAAATTGGAAGCACAATTTTCATATTTGGGACTGATGATTCTTGTAAAGTCTCAGTGACCCTGTACAGTTAATTAAAACTGTGATAAAGCATTTCTTCTCATGTTATCATGCAACTGAAACTCATTCCATGTCTGTGAAGACAAGACTTACAGTGATGTTTGTTTGAATGATTTAATGAGTATTGAGAGTCATTAATTAGAAGCTGTAATGTATGAAATTGGTTTCATGATTTTTTGTGTCCTTCATATGTTGGAAATCATTTTATCCACATGAGAAGAAACATCAACATGTGATGTTAATGTAATGATGTTTAGGGTCTCTATGAGTCTGAATCTACCCGACAGCAAGGCATGTATTTTAGTTAGTTTGTTTTTTTAAGGAGACAAATGTCCTGAAGAATGCTGTGCAGAGATATAGAATGTCTTTATTCTCAAATGGGAGTGCATTCACTTTCACAAAGTTAATCTTTTCATTTTTGCATGGCTCCAGTAGAAGATATTTTTGTCCTCAGATGGAATCCTAGTTTAATTTTCTTTATATCTCAAACTCTAGAAGCTATTACTCTTGCATTTATAATCAAACCATGCACTTGTCCTTTTTTATTGCCTTGTAACTTTACTCCAGAGGGAATCATTTGTGAAAGAGTGATTGTAGATGTGTTTCTTTCCCTTTTGCCCTATTAAATGCTCCTGTGAAGGGAACCAAGATCTACTTTGTATACATAGTACAATTCCAATATACAAAATAAACTCTAGCTTAGGCTTGTTTATATTAATATACGCTACTGAGGCAAAATAAATGCACTGAAACAAAGAGGAAATAGTTTACTTGATTTAATGTTTGTGGTTAGAAACAACTTAATAAAATATATATTTAAAAAATGTAGACTTTCTTAACCCTTACATCTGCTTAGTAAATAAAATCACATGGGTTTTGTAGTCTACAAAAACATAATGCATAATTCCTTTTAAAAAAGATGATCTGTGAAAACTCAAAATAAGCATTCAGTTCAAATTATTTCCATTTCTTTACATTTTATTGCAATTGTATTCTAAAATTTATATGATAGCTACAGAAAATATTTTCTCGGTGATGGTAAAAAAAAACAAAAAAACCCAGAAACCCCACTTGTTAATCAATTTGTCATTCTGTGGTGGCTTATGTGTTGCTATAATTCTGGAAGCTATGCCACAGATATTTTAAATACCAGCAGGATCACCCATGGCACATAGGTTTCAGCTAAGTTTCCAGACTAAGATGGACTCTTTTTTAATACTAAGCCACAGAAACCTCGTGAATTGCAGCAGACCATTGTCAGACATAGTACTGGAATTTGGGCCCCTCAGGTTGGAAGTTACTCAAAATATGATTGGGAAAGAGCTGCCTCATCAAAGTACATTTGACCATGATGATAGAACTGGAATAAAGCTCATTCGAACTTAATTTGCTCCTGTGGCACAACTCAAAATGAGGAGAAACAGCTACAAACATCTTTTAATAATCAGAACCTAGAATGTGCAAAATATTAATCTAGGAAAGTCAGAAGTTGTCAAAATGAAATGTAATACATAAGAATCTAAAACCTAGACATTAGTTAGCTGAAATGGACTGGTATTGGCCATTTTGTATCTGGCAATCACATGATGTACTATGCTGGGAATGACAAAGAAGAATAGCATCACATTCATTATCAAAAAGGACATTTCAATAACTATCTTGAAGTACAACGCTGTATGTGAAAGGATCATTTACATATGCCTATTAGGAAAACAAGTTAATACCACTATTACTCCAACCACCAAAGCCAGTGATGATGAAACTGAAAAGTACTACCAACTTCGTTATAAAATTGCTCAAAAAAATCAAGATGCATTGATTATTAATGGTAACTGGAATGTGAAAGATGGAAACAAAGAGGAAGGATCAGTAATTGGAAAATATGGCCTTGGTGATAAAAATTGATGCTGGAGATTGCATTATAGAATTTTCCTAGACCAATGACTTATTCATTGCAAATACCTAAAAAGAAAAAGGGCATGCATGATCCTCACCAGATGAAATACACAAGAATCAAATTGAATATATATGTGGAAAGAGATGATGGAAAAGCTCAATATAATCAGCCAAAACAAGGCCAGGCATACACTATAGAGCACACTATCAATTGCATGTATGAAAATTCAGATGAAGCTGAAGCCACATGAATTTAGAGACTATCTCAGGAACAGATTTGAAGCATTAGATAGTAATGAATGAAGACCAGAAGAGTTGTGAGATGACTTCAATAACAACATATAGGAAGAAACTGAAAGGGCATTGAAAAGACAGGGAAAAACCAAGAAAAGACACAATTTTTTGTAAAAAGAGACTTAAACTTATTCTCTAGTGTAAAGATGCTAAAGTGAAGGGAAGGAATGAAGAGGTAAAAGAGCTGAAAAGAAAATTTCAAAGGGCAGCTCAAGAAGCCAAAGTCAGGTATTATAATGAAAAGGACAAAAAAACCCAAAAAACCCTGTTGTTAAAAATCAAGTAGGAAGAAAATGCTCAGAAAGTAGTGAATTAAAAATTAAAGCCTTAACTTGTAATATTCAAGGATCCTGTGGCAAAATGAGTTCTGGTGTGGCCCTGTAGGATAAGCACTGCACCAAAGGATTGGTTTAAAGCACAGGATCAGTGATTCAAAATCATCAGCCTCTACTCAGAAACCCTATACAGTATTGCTATGGGTCAGAACTGACTTCACAACACTTAACAGCAACAGTAGGCAAAATATTGACTGATACAGAAAGCATCAAAAGTAGGTGAGAGGAATACACAGAATCACTGTACCAAAAAGAAATGGATGATGTGCATTCATTTCAGGAGGTAGCATATGATCAAGAACCGATGCTACTGAGGAAGCAGTATGAGCTGCGCTGAAGAAAGTGGGGAGAACCAAGGCTTCAGGAATTGATGGAATACAGATTGAACATTTTCAACAAACTGCTAAATCACTGGAGGTGCTCACTCATCTATGTCAAGATATTTAGAAGAATAACCAATAGAAGAAACCCATATCTGCACTCATTTTGAAGACAAATGACCCAAAGGAATACAGCAATCATCAAACATTACCATTAATATCACATGCAAGTAAATTTTTGCTGAAAATAAAAAAATGGCTGCAACAGTACATCGACAGGGAACTGCCAAAGGTTTAAAGCCAGATTCAGATAAGGAAATGGAATAAGGGATATCATTGCTGATGTCAGATGGATATTGGCAGAAAAGACAGGATACCTGAAAGATGTTTACTTGTGCTATATTGACTATGAAAAGGCTTCCAACTGTGTAGATCATGACATACTATGTAAATATTCCAGAACACTTAATTGTGATCATAAGGAACCTTTACATAAACCAAGAGGCAGTCATTCAACAGAACAAGTAAATGCTGAATGGTTTAGAATCAGGAAACGTATGCACTAGGGTTGTGTTCTTTACCACAGTTGTTCAATCTGTATGCTGAACAATTAATCCAAAAAGCTGGATTATATTAAAAAGAATGTGGCATCAGGATTGGCGGAAAAGTCGTTAAAACCCCACAATATGCAGAAGAGAAAACCGGCTTGCTGAAAGCAAAGAGGACTTTAAATATTTACTGATGAAGATCAACAATTACACTTTGATCTTATTAAATGCAATGCACTTCAATATAAAGAAAACAAAAATTTTCACAACTGATCCAGTAAATAACATTATAATAATGAAGAAAAGACAGAAGTTGTCAAAGACTTCCTTTTATTCACAGAATCAACACTAATGGAAGTAGTCAAGAAATCAAATGATGTATTGCATTATACAAATCTCCTGCATAAGACCTTTTTAAAGTGTTCAAGAGCAAAGATATCAATGTGGGACTAAGGTGTGCTTGACCTAAGCCATGATATTTTCAATAGCTTTATATGCGTGTGAAAGTGGGACAATGACTAAGGAAGAGCGTAGAAGAATTGATGCATTTGAGTTATGGTGCTAGAGAAAATATTGACAGTACCATGTATTGCCAAAAGAACAAACACATTTGTATTGGATGAAGTACAGCCAGAATGCTTCTTAAAAGCCAGGATGATGAGACTTTGTGGCTCATACTTTGGATATGTGATCAAGAGGGAACAGCCCCTTGAGAAAGACATCATGCTTGTTAAAGTGGAGAGCCAATGACAAGAGGAAGACTCCAGTAAGATGCATTGGCATAGCAGCAGCAACAATGGGCTCATGCTTAACAATTTTGAGGATGGCATAGTACTGGGCAGTGTTTCATTCATTAGGTTCATTCTTTTGTATATGTGGTTACTATGAGTTGGAATGGACTTGATGATGACTAACAGCAATAATAGTAATTTAAAAAATTAAAAACATTAAAGAACAAATATAAACACAAGAAGCTGCACTGAAATGGCTTATTTAGAATATTTTAGGATTCAAAGAACAACTCTGCTTGAAATGTATATTGTTCTACTGTTTTTATCCTGGGGGTGGAGATGAATCAATATGGCAAAGACTTAATGAATTTATTAATTT